ATATTTTTGATATTGAGATCAAACTATACTTGGGTTGGAAAATCAATTGAAATGAAATGCCAATTGGAAAATAGGAACTTGGCATGTTCTAAGATTATACAATTAGTATCAAAATACTAGTCGGGGAATTAATATAAATAAATGATGAAACAAATCATAAGAGGTAGGATTGTGAATAGATATGCCTTAAGTAGTCTCAAGAGATACTTAAAGGTTGAATTGTATGAACACTAAGGTGTGTTAGGGGTAGGCCTAAAGGCTACCCACGGGAATTGATTCTAGGCATAGGATTTGCTTGAGAATTGGATTATGAAAATAATTAGAGTTGGACTCTAGGATGACATGGAAATGTAGTTGGGCCGAGCCCTTGCCATGTAATATGATTAGCATGGAAACGTAGTTGGGCCGAACCCTTGCCACGTATATGTGATCTCCGTGGAAACGTAGTTGGGCCGAGCCCTTGCCACGAAGTTATGGTTGGTATGGAAACGTAGTTGGGCCGAGCCCTTGCCATACAAATTTTGATATGTTATATTGAGTTAGAGGATTGTATAGAAATGTAGTTGGGCCGAGCCCATGCTATACAATTGGGGCTCGATGGGACCCCACGGGGTTATCGTGACTCGCGGTCACGGGGGAATGGAAATGATAAATCCTAAATGAATATGGGCCCACGGGCCGACTACTTGACTTCATAATAAGGGAGTATAATTTAAACAGAAAAGAAAGGGGTAACCGAGGGTTATGGCCTATAATGTAGTATCACCCTGAATTGAGGGTCTTAGAAATTTAAACATTGATTATACTTAGTATAGTTTCTATTGTACTTGTCAAATGTTTCCAAGTACTGACCTCCCCTTCACGGGGGAGGCCACCTCACAGTTTCAGGTAGAACTTGAAGGTTGCTGCCACCGCCCGTTGCTTCGGGAAGATCGAAGGGAGAAGACGTGGTTCGTGCTTCTTCCGTTTCTGTTTGAAAACAATTTAAAACAATGCTCATGGATAATATTTTCTGAATAATTACTTTGGAGGCTTGCATGCCTAATTATGCCAAGTGTGGCTTGAACACTTGTATCATTTGTTTCCGCTGCTTTAATAAATGTTTTACATTATGTTTGTTTATGGATGTGTTATGTGTGAATGGTATTCAAGACGCCTTGTATGGTATGGATGAGTTGGACTGCGGTTGACTATTCGTACTGTACGGCGGGTTGTTGACGTGTCCGGCTAGGTCCGGGGCGTGACAATATATCGCTCCGTCATCTTAATTTGATGACGCGAAGCTCATTTACAGGCCCATCGGCCATATATCGCTCTGTCATCTTTATTTGATGACGAAGAGCTCATCTACAGGCCCATCGGCCATATATCGCTCTGTCATCTTTATATGATGATGAAGAGCTCATTTGCAGGCCCATCGGCCATATATCGCTCTGTCATTTTTATTTAATGACGAAGAGCTCATCTACAGGCCCATCGGCCATATATCGTTCTGTCATCTTTATTTGATGATGAGGAATTCATTTGTAGGCCTCTGAGCCACATCTTGCTCCGTCATCTTTATTTGATGACGCGAAGCTCAGTCGCAGGCCCATCGGGCATATATCGCTTCGTCATCTTTATTTGATGACGCAAAGCTCATTTACAGGCCCCTCGGCCATATCTCGCTCTGTCATCTTTATTTGATGACGAAGAGCTCATCTACAGGCCCATCGGCCATACATCGCTCTGTCATCTTTATTTGATGACGAAGAGCTCATCCACAGGCCCATCGGCTATATATCGCTTCATCATCTTTATTTGATGACGCGAAGCTCATTTACAGGCCCATCGGCCATATCTCACTCTGTCATCTTTATTTGATGACGTCGAGCTCATCTACAGGCCCATCGGCCATATGTCGTTTTGTCATCTTTATTTGATGATGTAGAACTCATTTGTAGGCCTCTGAGCCGTATCTCGCTCCGTCATCTTTATTTGATGACGTGGAGCTCTCATCCGGGCACCTCGACCATGCATCGCCCCGTCATCTTTATTTGATGACGTGGAGCTCATCATACCGGCCACTTAGCCGCCTCTCCTGGTCATCTTTATTTGATGGCTTGGACTTCTTATAGGCCTCTCGGTCACACGTCTCGGTCACTTTATTTGATGACTCGAACATCACATTATGGACGGTCACTCGACCTATCTCTTAGTCATCTTTATTTGATGACTAGGACTACTTATCATGCCGAGCTACTCACATCTAGAGACTGGTCTCGGCCATCCCCTTAGCAGACGGACACCGTTGCAGCTCCACACCTAGGTCGAAGAGCTCACCCCTTTTGCTTCATTTTGGGGGCATCCGGTGTACTCTTTTTCCCTCATTAGGATTTTTTCCCACTGGGTTTTTTCCTAATGAGGTTTTTAACGAGGCATCTCCCCATTGTGGATCAAAAGGTGTCGACCCTCGGCCCCCTATTCAAGACGTGCATTACTCTACTCCTCTTCACCTCACTACATTCACCTCAAGGAGTGAGGGACTGGAAGAGCGGGGGACTTAGCACCTCCGTTAGCCAAAGAAGCAGAAATTCAAAAAATTTCATGAAGTCTACTCACCAGAAGACGACAAATTAGCACACAGTTCTACTCCCTTTCGCCTCGAGTACTCTCGACTCAGGGAGTGGGGGACTCCCGATAGAGTATATAGACTCGAACCCCTGGGTCTCATGACTATTGGGCCCGGACAGCGGCCCACTCACGCTTATCGGACGTCATTTATATCATTTGTATTATTGTAGAGTTCATATATCATTTGTATGTACTAGATTAGCCTTTTATGTAATTGGGCCTACCAGGCCCATATTAGTGGTCCGGCCCATCGTTTCTCTATTTATACTCCCAAAGGGAGCTCTTGTAAACCTAATTCTAATTCACATTACTACTCATTCATCTTCTTCCTCACATTATCTCAAATCTCTCCATTTTATTATAGTTTGGATACCCCTATAATCCATCAAATATGTATTGATATGACATTTAAAAAGTGAGCATAACATGAGTACCAATTGAGTATACGTAACTACCAAAATGAGCATTGATATGAAAATATTAAGCTTTGTTAGTTGAGCATTAAAACATTTTCATTGATCATCAAACCTCCTCTATTGAGCATTAGAAACATGCAATTGAGCATCATGATCTCTACTATCATGTCTATAATCAACTTTCATGTGAATATAGTATAATATGATATTTTTGAAATATGCATTGATATGACATTTTAAAACGAGCATACGTAACTTACAAAATGAGAATTGAAAAAATTAAAAAGCTCATTTAAGTTCTCTAGTATTTTCAAATATTCATTTGTGTATGCTCATTTCTATTAATCATTATACTCATTCAAACATAACATAAACTCTTTTCTATAATACTACGTACACATGTAAATCTAGTGGATACATTATTAACAATTTAATAAATTATCCTTGTATATAACAATGCAAAATATGTAAATGTTTTATTAAAAATTATTTATAGTCTTTTGTTCTTGAATTACAAATATAATCGTTTTGTTTTTAAAATATTTACTTGTGCACATTTATTTTACACTATACTCATTTTAGTATAACGAACACAAAACTCATATTAGTAATAACACACAATATTTAATAAAATAATAAATATTCATCTTAAAATAGAAAATAGAAAAAACCAACATTAATAACTAAAATATTTTATAATTGAATAAAATTAAAGTATAAAATTATTAAAGAAAAAACAAAGAAAAACAAAGAAAGAAACCAGTAGAAGCAAGAAAAGAAGACAAGAAAAGAAAAGACAAACAAAAACATAGAAGTGACGAGGAGGGAAAGGAACGAAACAAAGAAAAGAAAAAGAAACAAAAGAGAAAAGGTTAAAGCAACAAACAGTCGAACAGGAGAGTTACGGCGATGCATGACGGCGAAACAAACAAAGGGCAACGACAGAAACCAACTCAACAATGACCATCCTAACTGAAATTAATTACAAAAATGTCGGTTGTACCATGCCAATGGTACAGAGAGGCTGTACCAAAAATTAATTCCAACAATTTCTTTTTGTGAGACCATGAGTGTTTATTCCCCTCTTGTTCTGCGTAGCTTGCACTTTGCCTAAGCCCCACTTCATTTGGTGGTTTTCTTAAGTGGAGTTAATTCAACGTTATTTTGGGAAATGTTTTTAATTTAACCCCAATTTGAAGAATATTTTTTTATCTAGCATTATTCTAGAAAAAAAGAGAGAACTATCAAATAAGCTTTCGAACTTTCATAAAAATGCAAATAAGCTCTTTTATATGAGGCTCTGTACGGCCGTCGCCATTTGGGGAGGTTTCCGGTGGAATTTTTTGATGAAATATTTTGAACATCTTCTTCATTAAGTCTAGTTTACGCATACCAAATTTCAGCTAAACATCAATCGGGAAGGCAGTCAAATGAATTTGTGAAGATAACTGCGCAGTTAGGCAGCGCAGTATATTTCAGAAAATCATTTGACTAACTTCTTGATTGATTTTTAGCTGAAATTTGGTATGGATAAACTAGACTTAATGAAGAAGATGCTACAAAAAATTCATCAGAAAATTCCACCGAAAACCGCCCCAAATGACGATAGCTGCACAAAGCCTCCTGTAAAGGGACTTATTTGCCCTTTTTTATAAAAAAGTTCGAGGGTTTATTTAATAGTTCTTCCAAAAAACTATGAGAAAAATGCATCTAAAAAGGTAGTATGAGAAAGGGAACCCGATTACCCAAAGAATCACAATATTCCTCGATCAATTCAGGAATTACTAGATCCGGGGTACTCTCCTAGCTTCAAGGCATTCTTTAATTCTTTTACCCCTTCCTTAATTAGCTTCCATTGTACTCTTGCTATGTAAGTATACTTAAAGATCAAAGTAAGTAAATATATCCCAGAGCTAGCATTATATAAATCCATTCACGACAGCTAGAATGAAGAATTGTTACTCTGAAGCTAATTATATTAGTGTGCGGGCATATATATATACGAAGTATAAAATATGCCTTCCTTCATCCGATTTCCTTCCACAGTGCAGACACGTCCCTTGACAGATGAGGAGCGGGCAGAAGTTGAATGTGCAATGCGTGGGGCAGCAGAAGCCATGCATGAGGCTGGAGAGATAATGGGTGAAATAGGAAGGTCGTCGGACCACCAAAGCATGGAGACATGGAATGATGATAATGGTGTGCAAGAAAGAACAATCATCACCAATGGGGGACGACGGCATCGAATTATCACTCGACGAGGGCCAAGAGGGCAATCATATCAGCAGGTCATCATCCCGGATGGTTCTAACAACAACAGAATGACATGTCCAACTTTCCTCCTCTTCCACCTCCTTCTCTGTGGTGGAATGGTTGTAATATTCTGTGACATATACTTCGTAGTATGATATATGCATGTCATGTACTCATGTATACTATATACGAAGTATATATGTGCCAAAGTACTCTAGTGCAACTCATGAAAGACAATGTGTAAATAAGTGTGTAATTCAATGTTTATGGGAGTGAAAACGTTTGAAATTCCAAAATAGGACTATCGTGTTTTATTCCCTAAATAGGAGTCATTACTGTCAAGCTTGAAAAACGTTGCCATGTTTAAAGTTTGCAATTTCCAAAACATGACAGTAATTACTTCTATGTAGGCAATAAAAACCTAAAAGACCTATTTTGGAAAACACAAGCTCGTTTAGTCCTATTTAGGAAAATTTTCCGTTCCTATTTACTAGTTACTTGATAAGTTCGTCTTACAACACGCATTTGATGCGTGTTGGGATCGGTTTTTGATGGTTTTCCTAGCTTTAAGGTGTTATAAGCCTCAATTTTAGTTCAAGTTATGTTTACTAGGCGTTGGTTCGAGTTTTGTGTTGTTTGGAGTCAAAATCAGGAAATTAGAGTCCTACACCGGCGCTTGAGAAGCAATCGGCATGAGTTGATGATGCATTCGAGAGAGAATTGAGAGCTTTGGAGGTCACCAAAAGGTTTACGATGAAGATTTGAAGATAAAAGAACTCGAGGATTGGCTACGCGATCAAAAGAAGACAAATAGAGCTTGAAAACGGTGATCAGGATGACATTTTGTCAATCATTCAAGCATATCTTTTTGTAGAAACATCCAAAGGACACGATTCAAGTTCCATATGAAAGAAAACTTCAAGGGATACAAATCATGTCAAGACACCATTGCTAGAATCTGAGAGGAGGAAGGTGAAAATAGACGAAGAAGTCAGATGATCGCTGTTGCGATTTGAGAATGCGACCTTCCACCATTTTATTCATATATTTTTATTGGATGATTCAAATCCAGTTTTGCAAGTTGTATTGGATAGGGGACTTCATTATCTACAACTTTGATGAGGTAAGAATCGTAAAATTCGAAGAAGAAACAACCCTGGAGCTACTGTCAGTCAGGCACGTCGTGCCAGCCAGGGAGGCAGACCGTGCCTGACCCCGGGACGCGCTTTTTACTGCGCAGGCACGGTCTCTGGCACGGTCGTGCCTGACCCCGAAAATCCTATTCCAGCTCAAATTTTATATGTTTTTTCCTATTTAAACACCATGTAAACCCCTGTTTTGAAGGGGATCTTAGGGAGAGGGCCTAACACGAAATTTTGAGAGATTTTCAGCTTTGTTCTTCAGTTTTTTGAGATTCTTTGTAAGTTCCCCCTTTTTAATTAATGACAATTAATTCTTTTCATCCCAATTATATTGATTCGATCTTCAATTATGAATTCTGAGTAGTTTTTATTAGGGATATGAGATTGATGAAGGGGTTATTCATGATGTATGACTAGTTTCTTGATGATTTAAATTGCATGAATCTTTATTTAATTTGTGTATGAATGATTTAATTGATATCTCTTGTAACCTAGAACGGACGCTAGAATTACAATTGCTTGTAGAATAAACTAAGAGAGATTTAGTTTATTCTAAGACACCTTCGATCACACACACTTAATCGTTCGCTAAGAGATTAGTAACGATTAAGGGGACGTACGCTCGCTCGTTTTGGCAATAATTTTATATACCTGTCGCATGAGAGATCAGTCTGGTTGCCTAAATTATTGTACTCTACGCCGCGAGAGCATTAGAAATTAGTATTGATTTGTGTTGCTTAATTAAATTAATTTCATGTGATTAAGCCTGATGAGTCAGAAATCCGATTACCCCAGAATCAATCCATGTTCCATTCGTCATTGATTAGAAAGAACCATTTAGTTTAACCGTTTTATTTGCAGTTTAATTTTCCAATCAATCAAATCTCGCACAATTGCATTTTATTTTATTTTTATTTTAAATCTCTAAATTTAATTAATTCCTAATTCCCTTTTTTCGTCCCTGTGGAGACAATACTCGTACTTACACCCTATACTTCTATTCATATTTTTAAGTGCGAGAAAACTCACATCATTACTATACTTAGTGTGACTACGATCATAACTTTTCCAATATATAAGGAAGAATAAAATTGATCTTCGTTTGTGATTATATACTTATACTATTTTCCCAACGCGCGATGCGCATTGAGTAAATGCTCAATATTATTTATTGCATAGAAAATACAAGTGTGAAGCATACAGAACTATTCAGTTCTCCTAACGATATATCTATCCTAGAAAGACACCTGGTGTGAAATATATTGATGGGTGTGAAACCATTCCAATCACGGGGTGAGACTTCATAGGAATAAGAATGAGGGCATGTTTACTTGTGACTTAATGGGCTTAATGAATATTGTGTATTAATCATTCAGCTATATAGTGATGTTTACTTGTGACTTTTTGAAAAAACTGACTTATTCGCGCAGATCTTTGATGACTTATTCGTTCAGCTAAAATTTTACACTCCTTCCGATTCAACAGGAAGGTGCTGGAGGTGTCTCCTTTTTAACCCTCTTCTCCGTTCGTTTATTTAACGTTCGCATCAGAATTCTCTCTACAACCCTACAATCTTCAACGATCGGAGTACCCGTCGAGCTTTCACGAAAGCAACAAAGAGCTCATCCCCTACCTTCTCCTTTTTAACCCTCTTCTCCGTTCATTTATTTCACGCTCGCATCAGAATTCTCTCTACAACCCTACAATCTTCAACGATCGGAGTACCCGTCGAGCTATCACGAAAGCAGCAAAGAGCTCATCCCATACCTTCTCCATCTAGGTATTTTCTCTTAATTTATTTCTGTTTTATATTTTTTTATCTTTCTTAAATTGCAGCTCTTTCCATGGTTCTCCATGATATATAGGTGCTTCCGGTAAGTAAGGCTTTTCCATTAGGGTAGAAGAGGAGGCCCTTATTTGATGTCTTTTAGATAAGATTGAGTCTTCGGAGAATCTCGAAGGGCTTTCTATATTTTGAATTCAGTCTCGCCAGAATGTTCTCATTCACTTCGATCCTAACTCTGAATCTGATTGTTCTGTTCCTAAATAATCTATTTGATGGAGTATATGGCCGGGAACCCCCGGCCCACAGACTCCTACTACTCCAGCGAAGGCCCAACAGGCCCAGAAGGCCCAACAGGCCCAAATCACAACGCCCAGAGTACCAAGCAGCCCGCACTACGCGCCAGGGGTGCCTTCGGCCCCCTGGCCGAAGGCTCTAAACTCTAACAGAACGGGTTTCTCAAGCAAATTAAGAAACTGGGAGAAAACGGCGAAAACAGTAGCCCTCGGCACTGTGAGCCCTCGGCACCAGGGTGCCATCGGTTGGAGGAGCCCTCGGCTACTGCTCTATAGACAAAGGCATCTCACTCGACAAGATATCCGCCTCACATGCGTACAGATCACCGTACCCTGCACAGACGTCCCATCCAACAGCCGCATTAAATGCGGCCACATGCGGCTGCCAGCGCCAACCAGTTGAGGTGACCCCTCAGCCAATGAGCGCTTGACAAGTGTCCCTGTCCGGCATTTATTGCTACTATAAATAGAACCCCATTTCCCCATTTGTAACCACGCTGAAAACGCTCCACATTTATAATACACTCTCTCTCTCTACATTTACTTGCTCTGACTTCTCTCTAAGTTATTCCTAGCAATAACCCTTCGGATATATACCCCCGGGTAGACTATCCATCATTTGGTGCTCTCGTTGAGAGGTCGAACAATCGAGTAAGAAACCCTCCCCCTTCGCCAAACATTAGCCCTCTACCAAAATGGTGAGAACAACACGTGCCAACTCAAAGAACGTAGAAGACAAGAACCTGGCCCTCGGCGACGTCAACGCCCCCGAAGCCTCTCACAGGGCTCCCGAGGGCGGTGTCATCGCTGGGCTGGAACAGGCGGCTGTCGACCTACGCCTTCAGATCCAACAAAATGCCCCCGATGCCCGCCTCGGCATCGAGGCCAAGAAGAAAAACTGGAGCGATGACCAAGTCAGCCCTCCGGTTCTCACCATCGACGTGCAATCGGCGCTCTCCGCCTTCATCCAAACGCTCACTCAGAACCCGGGTGCCTTCGGCACCCTGGCTCCGGCTCACCCCCAGGTTGGGGAAAACATCATACTCCCCCCTCCGCCACACCCCTTCGGAAATCCCACCCCTCGGGTGAGGAACGACGAAGGGGTAGTGGCCCAGGATACGTCCTCCCAGGAAGTACAGTCCCGGGACCGCCACAATGACAACAGGGAGAGGCCCCGCACTTCTGCCCTCAACCGGCTCGGAGGAGGGCCAGACCGCCGAGGGGTCCAAGACCGCCTCGGAGGAAAGGCACTCCAAAGGCCTCAGGAAAGTGGAGGGTCTGTCTCGAGGGCAGACGAGGAGCGTCCCCCTCGGGACAAAGGCAAGGCACCCCTTCATGCCAATGATGCTCGCCACCAAATCAACCAGGCCCACTCGGCCCGGGTTCGTTCGCAGGGGGCGGAGACCCTCCCGAAGGATCCCCGGGACGAGATTATTGCGGCCCTCCAACGCCGGCTTGACGAAATGGAGTCCAACAAAGCTCACGCCACCACCTTCACCCCTCACTCAGATCTCAAATATGAGGCCATGATGGCCAAAATGGAGGAGTTACAGAAGAAGGTGGTCGAGGGCTCCGGGGAACCTGTCATCCAGCTACGGACCCGGACGCCATTCACCCTAAGGGTATTGGCGGCCTGGATCCCGGAAAAATACCGAGGGCAGCACATACAGCCCTACAACGGGAAGACGGACCCCCAGGAACACTACAGCAAATACCAGAACATCATGATGATGGTGGGGGCGTCAGACGAATATTTGTGTCGTTGGTTCCTCTCCACCTTAGAGGGGCCGGCATACGAATGGTTCAACAGGCTGCCCGAGGGCTGCATTGATTCATGGCAAGAACTCGCCCAGCGATTCTTGACACAATTTGCCGGGAGGCGTCGCACAAGGAAGCACTTCTCCCACCTCCTAACAATACGCCAAAAGAGGGATGAGACCCTTCGGGACTTCCTGGAGCGCTGGAGGATGGAAGCCGACAAAGTCGACGGTGCTGACGACGGGACCCTTCTGGCCCTCCTACAAACCGTCCTCCGCACCGGCAACTTTTCAAGGAGCCTCATCATTGAACCCCCCGCGACTACATAAGGGCTTTGCAGCGGGGGGACCGATATGCTGAGGCCGAGGAGGTGGAGAAGTATCACCAGCATCCGGACCAGCAGCCCCCGAGGGCTGAAACAAGCATAACCGAGGGCCGGGGGCTCCTCCAAATCACCCCAAGGCTTCGGGACCCTCTGATGACCGCCCTCGGCAAGGCCAAGCCAAGCCCGGGGGAGGTTACAAGAGCAGCCCTAAGACTTGGGCGCAGCCCATTCTCCTGGACCACCCCCGGACACCATTGACGCACCCCGTCAGCATCATCCTTGATTTCGCCGAGGAGAGGGGCCTCGTTGAGCGCGACTCTCGCGCACCCCCGGAGGTACATGCTATCAACCCTCAGTTCCCATACTGTCGCTTCCATCGGCACCAGGGGCACAGGACCGATGACTTCCATCAGCTAAAGACGGCCATCGAGAGGTTAATACAAGCAGGGCACCTGTCCCAATTTGTTCAGAGCCCTCGGCAGGAGGGACCTTCTCATCAGGGGCCTCCCCGAGGGCACCACACGAAGGTGAACGCTTGGGTAAACCCGAATACCACCCCCTCGGCAAGAAGAGGGAGATTGGAAACTTGGAAGAAGAGGAGGAGGAATACCCCCACTACCAGGAGAAAAAACGCCACATCCTCATGATCACCGGTGGCAATACAGGGGGCGATTCCACCAGCCAGCGAAAGAAGTGGGCTCAATCACTTTACGTGGGGGAAGTCACTCATATGCCCCCGGTAAAGCGACTAAGGGAGGAACCCATCACCTTCACCAACGCAGATCTCCCTCCTACTTCTTCTCCTCACAGGGATGCCTTGGTGATTCGGACCGAAATAAACGACACCATTATTCACCGAACTTACATTGACACGGGCAGCTCCGTCAATGTAATGTACCTCAGCACCTTCAGAGAGCTGCATCTGGAGAGGGGGTCCCTTCGGCCCATTAAGACCCCTCTGGCCGGCTTCACCGGCGACACTATTGATTCCGAGGGGGTAATAACCCTCCCGGTGATCTTCGGCGACGGGCTCCATAGAGCCCAGCTCGAAGTGGAGTTCGTCGTCGTTAACATCGACTGCGCCCACAACATCATCCTCGGCCGGCCAGCCCTCGAGGACCTCGAGGCCATCATCTCCATGAGGCACCTCTGCCTCAAGTTC